TTTAAGACAACAAAGCTGACAACCACACCAATATGTTTTATTGATCATTAACATAATTACAAAATTGTGTGTACTAAGAACAATTTTTTTAAACTTTAAAAATGACTTCATTGCTCCAAAACTTATGCTGCCCTAAGAGCCGTAACCTTGCAATCTGAAATAGAAAAAAACAACAATAGTGAGTGTGTCGAAAGTTAGAATGGAGCCGAGAGTAATTATTGAACTGAAAATTTATATTTACAGATATATTTGAACCTTTATGACGAATTTTATGTTTGTGACAATTTCATGGTGATTTTTAATGTTGTGTTGCTAAGCAACAATGATTTTGGTTCATTCATTCATTCTGTCCACTTTTTTTTTATTTTGAATTTTTTTTTTTGTTAGCCGAGATAAAAATTAAAATGTTTTCACCAACTTGTACTTTAAACTTAGGATGAAGAGCAAGTAATATTTCATATGGTTTTTCAGAGTGTTCATAAATATGATACTTTTGAAGTGTAGATTAGGATAATCTGAAAACAGCATTATATTTAAGTATCACAGTTGCCATGGCATTTAGTGTTTGACATGGGTCCAATGCGACCTACTGTAAATTGTCTTCATTTTGCAAGAGGCAAATGTCTTCAGGAATGCCACAAAATCATGATAAAACGTGTGTAAAATGGATTGTCTACACAAATTACGATTTTATGTTTTGTGGCAACTATGGTTCTTTCACTACAGTTCTACTATTTGATCTGTTGGAGTTAGAAAAGTCAAAGAAGTCTTTTTCAAAATACCAATAAATTTAGGCGATTGTACAATCACATAAACCAGGATTATTAATAAATGTTTCATGACGTGTAATCTGGATTTGCAGTCCAAATCATACTGTAAAGACATGGCAGATACCGGTAACATTGATTCCTTTTTTGAAAATAAGAAAAGTCTCTCTACAATAGAGAGAAAAGTGCATAATTAAAGACAAATCGTTTTGTAATAATCTCAGTTATAACTGATAATTTTATTTGGGCGAGTGGGAAAAGATAAACAAGATACTTATATGTATATTTGTCTATTTTATATATTTTTCTAATTAATTTAGTTGTATGTCACCAAAATTATAAAAGTGTTAGTGATGTGAGACATCTTTATTTATTTGTAACTTAGCAACTGATTCATCTTTCTCTATGGATGGAGAGAAGCTGCAATTAGTAAACCATGTTCACTTAGTTTCTGACAATCCAACAAGAACAGGCTATGCAATTCTTTGATTGGTTGGAATATACACTAAATGCATTTATTGGCCAATGATTGAAGGCTTTACAAGAATCACCAGTTGCATCAATGTAGCAGAGTGTAGCATGTTTAAAAATATTTAGATTGGGGGGATGTTATAGAATTGTGGGGCCAATACTTTTGTCATTTCTCATATATATTGTTATTCTTATCGTTATTTAAAATAATTATTATTAATAATATTGTTGTGTTGAATATTAAATATTTACAATAAACAAGACAAATTTATATTTATTGTTGTTTTTGTTATATACATACCATTGTGTTTGAACATGGTCTCTAAATTGTTCAAGTAATATGTTCCTTTTCACGAAGAATCTTAGGATATTTTCTATAATCCCAGGATATTTTCTATAATCCCAGGATATTTTCTATAATCCCAGGATATTTTCTATAATCCCAGGATATTTTCTATAATCCCAATATAATCTCCTGATATTTTCTATAATCCCAAATTAATCGGTGATATTTTCTAATCCCACAATGTTTTCTATAATCCCAATATAATCCCACAATATTTTCTATAAATCCAATATAACCCATGATATTTTCAATAATCTTAATATAATCCCATGATGTTTTCTATAATCCCATGATATTTTCTATAAACCCACAATGTTTTCTATAATCTCAATTTAATCCCACAATATTTCCTATAATCCCACGATGTTTTCTATAATCTCAATAGAATTCGATATTTACTATAATCTCACATTATTTTCTATAATCTCAATATAATCCCATGATATTTTCTATAATCCCAATATAATCCGATATTTTCTATAATCCCACGATATTTTCTATAATCCCACAATATTTTCTATAATCCTAATATAATCCAACAATATTTTCTATAATCCCACGATATTTTCTATAATCCCACGATATTTTCTATAATCCTAATATAATCCCACGATATTTTCTATAATTCCAATATAACACCCACGATATGACATGAGTTTTGTATTAATCTAGGTCGAGGATGTGAATTGATACTTTGGCAGTAATAACGAGTGTCTGGTTAGGTAAACCAAAGAGTAAAAGATTTTATAACATGCATATTTTCAGTCCAAAAATATGAAATGTTGGAGTGTTGAAAGTGGAACGATTGCTGAAATAACACTGAACGCATGTGGATACGGCATTTGCCAATGCCTAGAATGCTTATTTTGGTCAGTAGGACGACGTTCTATTTCATGTGAATGCCTTGCAAATGATGTGCAGTGACTCTGTCTGTTCGCTAGTAATTCCGAAAATAAACAAATTAAAGTGCTTGCCAACAATGACCATTTTTACAATTATTTATAGAACAAAAGGGTGTGGGTTACGCCAGTTTCCATTACCATTGGTTACCATTTTAAGTTTGATATTTCAAAGCATTGTGGAAAATGACAATACAATACTTGTTGTCATGGGACCCATCACTGAACACACACAGCATGATGACTGCGTTGCTTTAAGGTCAAGTGTTAAACGGCAGTAATTGTGTTATAGAGAATCGTATCAATTTATTGTAAGAATGTCTCAGCATGTGTATAAACTAATAACTAGCAGAAGCTGCTGTAACCATGGTAATGTACGGTCAAAATAACAAAATTATTGCATTTTTTATTCACACTGTTTTCTATAGTGATTACTTCTTCATATCGCATAATGATGACAGTAGAAGGAAAAGTCAAATCGTTAAACCAGTGTGAGTAACCACGTTTTAAATAAAGACCACCTCTGCTCATAATGACCACCTTTAAAAAAGTCCTAATGCAATTTCCATGTAAAATGACCAGTACATAAAGGCCATCTATTCAATGTGGTCAAATAAACCTGTGTATAAGGCAGAAATAATGAAAGATGATTATACAGTGTTTTACCTAGTCTTCGAGGCTATGTCACAAAACGTTCTATGTTGCTAAGGCGTACCGTACCCGACTGTTACATTATTTCTATGGGCTCTGCACGAGCTGCTGTGGAACGTCGGTCAAAGAGCCGATGAAAACAGCTAAAGTCGAGAAAACAGCACTAACTCAACTTTGAAGTAATCCTGAGCAACCGAATATATATATATGTTGTACATATAAGAGTAAACTTGATACACTGTTCGGCAGAATCTCATCAACTATCCCAAAGTACAGTTTTCTGGGAGTTTTCGGCCTTTGTTTTCAGCGTGATAATTGCCAGGTGGTGAAAATGCCCAGACTTTTTGAAGTCAATCACAAAAAAAAACCACAAAAAAAAAAAACCACACTCTCATTTATTCTCCATCTTCAATTTCAAATACCTTTTCACAAATTATTGTCACGTTTTTATTTTTAAATTATTTAATCAACTTCTAAAAAAGACCACCAACAGTGTAAATCAATACAAAAACACAGTCTTTGTAAAGAATAAAATAAGTTATTGATGATGACATTGCCCCTATCCTGGTAAATTTTGACCTTGGCAATTTGGACAAGCCCTAAAGAAAAAAGCACAGCTGCATCAAGTCGAATAACAACACTTTGTACTGACCTTTGATTAGAACTCCCTAGGTGACTTATTTCTTTGGCCAGTTGAACCTTCCTTTTTGATGACCACTACAAAGGGAAGCATATCATAATATTAATTGTGTGTTTACTATTTTGATGTTTTGAGCATATTCGCTGTGTTTTAATTTCACAAATTTGTCAATGAGTTTTATTGTTATTTTACATGTTCACATTGATTTAATTTAGCGGATTTTACTTATCAGCAAAAATAGCAAAATTAAAACCCAGTGAATAATTAGTGCAATCACAGTATTAAATTCAAAACAAAAAGTAGCTAGAGCACAGAAATGGAGAGACATACCAACCTCCCTCTCCCTCTGGATAACAGTGCAATTAAAGTTGTGTGCATGTGTTATTATGGTAAAGAGCTCACACAATGAAACATTGTCAAGTAGCACTTAACAACATAGTAAACAACATTAGATAGAAAGAAAGAAATACAGTTAGATAAGACAAGAGTGTGAGGGAAAATTGTGAGTCTCTACCAGGGTGTTTTTTATCAATGGTACAACCTTGGGTTGCTTGGCAATCACAGATTTGCTGCACAAAACTATATTCATTATCAATACACTCCAATTTTACAATGCTAAATTGATCGGTCTCAAACTCAACCCTGGGGAGGTTGGTTGGTTAGTCTAAGTAATCGGTGTTGACTAATAACTAATTACACTAGGTGAAAGTAGTCTGTATATTTCATGTCATCACTATTCAATTACTACCAGTATTTGTATACAGTTAGATATACAACTGACTTGAACAAGAGTAGGTGGAGTTGGAATCCAAAACGCAGCTTAGCAGAAACTGCAGTTGAACCATGCCAATAATGTGAGACACCCTCCCTCCCAATCAATTCAAAATACTGTGAAATACTTTAATTTCACTGAAATTTATATCAGAAAAAAAAACTCCAGATATTTTCACACAAAACAGTGTCAAAATTATTCTAGTTATCACATTGTGGATGAGAATCAAAAACAATTTTTTTTTCTGCAACACCATTTCAAAACTGAACCCCCCCCCCAGTAATTGATAGTAAGTTGACAGCATTACGATTCAATGGGCAATTATTGCTGCTGTTGCAATTATCATCAGTACCTGACTTTTCAGTTTCAAAATACACAAACATAGAATCCTTGGTTAATTAAACAAATATATCAAAACAAGATGTGTTTTTTTTTTAGTTTTTCTTCAAATGTGACTTTATTTTGAATTTGTTTTCTGCATTTGATTATTCGTGTCACCAGCGATTAAGTAGTAAAAACTGCAAATATTCAATGTGCAGCAAAACAAAATGGATCTTCGTGACCCACATGGCATTGCGTCACTTGTATTTTTTACATTGTTGCCGGTAATATGCATTCGAATTTCAAGACGTCATCAAATTCATAACAGTCTTAGTATTGCTAACAAAAACAGATTACCATTCTATCAATGCATTTTATTGTTTTAAATTCATGCCAGACGAGACTGATTAGACTGACTTGGCAATTAAAGCATGACTGGTTAAATTTCCAACAGCACAGGCAAGTTACATGATAAGTGTCATGGGATTGTTTTAATATTTATTACTAGTATTTAGACTTTATGTAAGAATTGTGTACGGGTATTCTGTAGTTTTCTATGTAAAATAATCATCTGCGAACGGCCAAAATAAGATCCATGCAATAATAAAGCATTTCACAGTAAGGGACTAAGGGACCTCGACCACTACTACTGTAAAATACTTTATTCTAGATGGAATTAATTTTCGCTGAATATATATTTGATGAGTTTAATGTAAAATATAGGAAAAAACGTTTATTCACTGGATTTTTATTGAATCATCCCTTCATAAAATTAGCAAAAATAAACTCCAATCAAAAAGAGTATTTAACCGTAGCCTTTAATCCTTCGAGTCAAAGCAAAACAATATGAGGTTAAGCATAGTAACAACCAGTCTGTGATAACTGGCGCTGTTGGGCAAGAGATTTTTTAGATCTATGAAGGCTCCACAACAGAATGCCATGGAGTTGCCAAAAGCTCTTGAATTGTCAGCTAGCTGGCGAGTGTAGTTTTTCAGCCACATGGGATGCAAACATTTGAGTCTGAGTTTCCCTGGGCTTCTTTGCATATGTATGCATAAGTCTGGTGATGTGAGAGCATGCGCACAGGGACACAAGGCTCAATGCCTGTCTGTTGCATTGGGTAGCTCGTTCATCAGGACTTTGAAGAGGTGAAGAGGTGATTAGTCAACGAGAGGACTGAGCCAGCCTGGAAGACCACTAGATTATCAGAAATGGATATAATTTGCAACTGGCTGCATCTGCTGGCTGAGGCTACAGTCGTCAAAAATAATGTCTTTCTTAACCAATCGGCAATTGACTCTGCATAATACGGCTCCTAGGGAGTTTGCTGTAGAGATGTTAGCACTAATGACAAGGACCAAAATGGTGCAGTAGTGTTTGTATGAGGTAGCTTCTTGAGGCAAGTCATTCTCAGTGATACCCAAACTTATAGACAACCTGGTGTTTTTGCCACATAGAGAAAATCTACTAACTAGGGCATAGGTGGATAGAATAGATAAGTTTGGTGTTGTAAGTACCTTGTGCCACCAGTGACTCTGGTATAATTGGGTGGTGCTATCACGGAGGGACTGGAGCATGGTGCTCGCTTGTTCCTCTGAAAAGCCCTGTGCCTAACTGAGCATGTGTATAGTCTGTATAAGTGTGAAAATGGAACAGCTTGGGATTTGAGACACAAACACTGGTCTTGTGGCATTCAGTGCTTTGGCAAACAGATTGATGGACGATAAAACAGGAACTGTGGCGACTTGTGGTTTGATCTGGCACTCAGTGCTGATGAATTTGGCCCTAGTTGGAGTGTATCAACTGGGGTGTTGTTGACTCCTCTTATGTGACTGTATTCTAGATTGATGTTGGGTAGACTACACAAGAAGATGATTTCCACTGCAAGGTTGTTAGGAAGTGATGACCTGGTTGCCCAACAGCTTCCCCTCAACCATTGTGGACTTGTCATAATCTCTTTTGACGTTTGGCTTTATGGGTAAAACAGAAAGGGAGCAGGCATTGCAACTTCTTTTCAGCTGCCAATTTAGCTCTCTGACAGTATTTATCATAGGCCTTCCAAGTAGCTGAATCCAAATCAATGAACATCTCACAGCGTGAGAAATTCTCACAATCACGACCACATGTATGACACTTCTTGTGCAAATCAAAGGTAGTGATGAAACAATGAACCGATACAAAGCATATGTGACAATTTTCTTTTATTGGGGTCTTAGACTTCACGCCTTGAACTTTTCCCACAGGATCAGGTGCGACAACCATCTTGAAAAATGACACAGGTTTCTAACAACGCACCACATTAATACTTATTCTGAAAAATGGCACTAAATGAACATTCCTAGCTAATAATTGAACCATTATTAAACAAGCCATGCATGGCACAGTCCCTGTTAGTTATCAAATTTAAGATATATAGTTTTGTATATAGTAATATAGCTGGAATATAAACATGTCAGGAATATGATTATGATGATTGTTTAACATTTGTATCTGATCGTCAAACGAGTATTGAGAGATATTGCTCTGGAACAGCATTAATTGAAACAAAATCAGCCATTTTGAATATATGTATAATGAATATATAAAATTTGAACATAGTCAGTCAAAGCATGTCAGAGATATGGCTCTAGAATCCCAATCATTAAAACAAAATGGCCATTAAAAAATAAAATAACGTGCATCAGGAACTCGTAATGTCTAATGTATGTACCAAGTTTGAACAAAATCCATCCATAAATGCCAGAAATGCTTGATATTTGATGAATCTTTAGCACAAAAATAGCCACCATTTGGCCATTTTCAATAGGATCGTCAAACCAATATATCTGTATATCTATGACATGATATATAATGAATATTTCAAATTTGAACATAATTAGTCACAGCAAGTCAGAGATATGGCACTATAACCACCGCCAGTCGGCCATTTCGAGAATCTTATCTAAAAACAAAATGATGTGCATCAAGGTCCTATAATGTCCAACATATATACCTAGTTTGAACAAAAACCATCTGCAAACAGCCGAGAAATGCTTGATTTTGATGATTTTTAGAAAAAATGGCCGTCATTCGGCCATCTTGAACCAGATCGTAAAACAAATTGATGTGCATGTGTATAATATCATGTATGATGCATGTGTGAAGTTTGCTTGTGATTGGTCCAGGCATTTCTAAGATACAGGTCAAGACGCACACACAGACGCACGGAGGTCAAAACATAGGACTGCGTCCGAACAGAGATTTAAAAGTTCGTGGAGAGACGATTTCTGGCAAATTTTTGTCTCAAAAACGGATATCTAACTGTATACAAATAGGTATAGTGATTGGCTAGTAATGACACTAACTAGAAAAACTGCTTGAAGCTAGTCTAACTGTTCATTAGTCACCACCAAACACTGCCCACCTGTTTGTCCAGGCACATTGCTGAGTTTGGCGGATGGTCACCATAGAAGGTTGAATCTTTAATAAAATTCTGAACAGAGAACTAATACTGATGCATTTTCCCACACTTATCTAAGTTAGACAGATACATAGCTGTATACAAATAGTGGAGGTAATTGGCAAGTGATGACAGAAACTAGGGGGGCGATGGCAGTCAACTGTGACTGTCAGGGGTATTAATAATGCACAAGTTAGGGGGTAGAGTAAAAAGTCACATGATCATAATGTATTGTCAATTCATTCTCAATATTGGCCAGTTGCTGGTGGCCAACTGTTTAGTAGCCAAGCATACTATTGTTTATATTTTTCATATACATAATAAACTACCAAATTACTACCTGAAAAAACGAATTAAATGTTAAAATTTAACTAGGAATTTTCACCCATTTGATATTTTGATTGGCATATAGTGGTCGTCTTGGCCGAATGCTCCGACACCCTGGCAGACTGCATTTCATTTCAACATCAATCAGGTATGGTGTCATCTGTAGTATCATCATCCAACACTGATTCACTAACAGCCAGTGGTTGTTGAGATATTATCAGTGGAACAAAATTTGACACAGACACACAGACGGACGGAGGGACAACCATGCATTGGTACGATATTACCACTTTGTGGTACCATTTTAATAGAAGGCTTATAATACAGATTTTACAGAACTTAATTTATTCAAGAATTGTTGTACCCACAACAAGTTTGGCTCAACATTAAACGTGACCTTTTACCCCAGTCAGCAACTTAGCTGGCAATGTTACTGTTTTGGTGTTCTGAACAATATGACGATGACATCAAATTTTTTTATAGAAAATCAACTTCATCTTTAAATGAGTTCAATTCATTCTCAAGTTCTGGAATTTGTATCTATAGAATGCTACATTTTGAATTGTGAAATTCTCGAGTAATTTTTTATGCACATACCCTTTGGGATGAGAACTGTACGTCATGCTTTTCTTGCCCGTATGTGGTGCCGTTCTTGACCTTGGTGCATTCTGGGAAATAAAGTAACAGTGTCAATCATCAAAATATATATTCATAAACAGAGGCATGTTAAGGTAATAAATTGTATTTTCCGATTATTGACTTTGAAAATTTTTTTGTTTGTCAAGTCCTTCTGACTTATGTAACTATGGTAACAGGGAATGCAATGATGATAAAGCATAGCAAAACATTATGTACTGTAAAGGGGTTAATTATTCACTGGGTTTTAATTTTGCTTATTTCCCTGACTGAAAAATGCGCTAAATTAAAACCCAGTGAATATGTAAAATTGAGCATAGATTACATTATCTAAATGATAAAACCGTGAAGCCCACTGAATATGCCTGAAATGGTAAATCAGCGAAATTTAAACCCAGTGAAAATTAGTCATTTTACAGTACTCACAAAATCTACAACTACTATAAAATACTTTTTTTGCTAGGAATTTGTTTTTTCTATTTTATGATTCAGTGAAAAAATAAAACCCAGCGAATATACTTTTTTTCCAATAATTTACATTCAACTTGTCAAAAATCAGTGAAAATAAATTTAATACAAAACACCTAAAAAATCTTTTCAGCAAAATTAATTCTATAAACTAAAATAAAGTATTGTACAGTACTCTGTATGTGCCATAGTTTTCTAAACCATTGATGGATTACAGTGGAGAGTGGTGAAAAGACAAGATTACACAACAAAGACATTTTTAATAATCAAAACAGGTGATATGTTGACCCCTGAAAGGTCATACGTCTTAGCGCACTTGACATTACGGAAGTTTACTGTTTGTTTGTTTTTTGCTAACATTTTGAAAAGCCTCTTGTTTACCAAGTAAAACAGTAAACAAACATTTGGCTTTATTGTGATAACACAATAAAGTACAAGAACGTGTGAACTTTAGAAAAGCGATAATGAAAACAACATACACTGTTTTATTTATCCATTGGCGCTTACAACGTACTTATTTCGTACAAAAACCTTTTACACTATCAATATTACATGAGATATTGCATAAACTGTGAACGCTGAAAACAGCAAATTTCACAACAAAGAGAAAATCAAAGAAAGCTTAGAAAGAACTCCCGTGTGCTGAGAGTATTGAAGACACATTAAAAATTAATTCAAAATTACTTGTACATGAGATATTGATAGAAAAGCTGAAAACTAATTATGTACATCAGGTAACTAATATGAACAGAACAGAACAAAAAAATTATGAATTATTATGCTAATTAGAGAATTAATATGAACAAATTTTAACCCAAAATTAATCAGGCCTGTCTATTGTCCTAGAGCATTTATGTACCAAATTTTATTCAAATGTGATGATCAGTAATTGAGATATCAGTGTTAATTAATTATGTTAATTAGGAGATTAATAAGCATAAATATTTACCAAAAACTAATTGGGTTTCTGCATAGTTCTCTTTAAAAGTTTCATTAAAATCCAATTTGTGGTTCTTTATATATCAGTGGAACATTATGCAAATTAGGTAATTAATATCCAATTAAAACTAATTAGGTCTCTGCATAATCCTAGAAGATCTATGTAGCAAGTCTCATTGAAATATGATGATTACTACTTGATATATCAAAAGCTGAAAATTAATTAATTATGCAAATTAGATAATTAATATGTACTCATATTACCCTAAAAACTATCAGGTTTGTGCTGTGTCCTATGACATCTATGTACCAAGTGTCATTGAAATGTGATGATTTACTACTTGAAATATCAAAAGCTGAAAATTAATTAATTATGCAAATTAG